GTGCTGATGTCGGGGGGCTGCAGGACGGGGCATGGGCATGTCGGGGGCCTCAGGACAGGGCACAGGCACATCAGGGGGCAAAGTGGGGGGAAGACTGGGCACGTCAGGAGGGAAGAAGGGGGGCGGACTGGGCAAGGCAGAGGGGACAACAGGAGGGGGTCTGGCCATGGTGTGCTGCAGTACAGGGTCCATGCGCTCCGCAATGGTGCTCAGGAGGGTTTATGTGCGGTCACAGTGCTCAATGTCCCCACTCCCGCCACTCCTCATTGGCACATATTTTGTTTGTGAGCGAGCCCTCCATGCGCTCAATGGCATAGACGTGGCAGCAGAGAAGGTGGTAGCGGTCTCGGGAGCGCTGCAATGGGCCCTGGCTCCTTGGTGCCAGCAGGATAGGGCTGGAAGGCCCTTCGCTGGCAGGAGGTCCCACTGCAGATGAAGCAGAGGAGAGCAAGATGGTCAGTGACCCCTGCCCCATGGTGTTCCAGGCGCCCTGTGCTCTCCTCATGCCACCGCACATGCCACAATGCCTGGGGACAGGTAAGACTGGTGGGGGGGGGATTCCCCTAGGGGCAGCGGGAGGGCCTGAGGTGGGCCAGGGGATCCTGAGAGGGCCACATGTGGTGGTGGGGGGCCTGTTGTGCCTTCCCCTGGGGCAGCTACTGTGTCCCATAGGTGGCCATGGATTAGTGCTGTGTGTAGTCCCCTTGGGCTGCATGGTGTCTGCCCTGCACCCTTGCAGCTGGGCTGCTCCCAGCTGGACCTTCCCTGCTCCTCCAGGCTGGGTGTGCATGGCCCCTGGGGTCCCAGGCATGTGCTGGGGATGGTGTCTGCCCTGCACCCTTGCAGCTGGGCTGCTCCCAGCTGGACCTTCCCTGCTCCTCCAGGCTGGGTGTGCATGGCCCCTGGGGTCCCAGGCATGTGCTGGGGCTGGCAGCCGTGTTCGTGTGCCACTTGGTCCGGCTGCACAAGGTTGTACATGCTGTGTGCCACTGTGCAGCATCCGGCCAGGCTGTGCAATGTGCTGCACCCTCTCCCCCATCCCATGGCCCCCTACCCCCTGCACACTTGTGAGTGGCAGCTGCGACACTCACCAGATGATCCCTCACCAATCTCCGAGGAGGCCCAGGACACATGGTGGCTGCTGTGCTGGGCTGGTGGGCTCTGGCTGCCGTCCTCCTCCTCCTCCTCGGTGGACCAGTTGCCCTCCTCCTCCTCCTCCGCATCTGTTGGCCGGACCACTGGGGTGGCCAGGGCTAAGTCCACCATGGCCTCCAGGGTCTCGGCCCCCTTGTAGGCCAGGATACTGTGCAGGTGGTGGTAGTGGGAGCAAGCAAGTGGCTTTGCCGCCCCCACTCTCGCTGGCCTGCACGTAGCTGAGCCGCAGGTCTTTCACCTTGGCCTGGACCTGTTCCAGGGTCTGGGCTGGGTGTCCTTGTGCAGCTAACGCCTGGGCCATGCAGGCAAATATGTCTGGCTCCTCGGTGGACCGGTTGCCCTCCTCATCTTCCTCCGTGTCTGTTGGCTGGACCACTGGGGTGGCCAGGGCTGAGTCCCAGTGGCCCACTTGTTGGCCAGGATACTGCGCAGGCGGTGGTAGTGGGGGCAAGCAGTGGCTCCGCCACCCCCACTCTCGCTGGCCCGCACGTAGCTGAGCTGCAGGTCTTTCACCTTGACCCAGACCTGTTCCAGGGACCGGGCTGGGTGTCCCTGTGTGGCCAGCACCTGGGCCATGCAGGCAAATATGTCCGCAATTTGCCTCTTGGATTTGGGATTACAGAGGGCCTCCTCCTCATTCCAGAGGTCTAGGAGGGCCTGGACCTTGGCATTGCCCCAGCATGTAGCCCACTGCTTGGTGAGCCTGTGGGCCTGCTGGGTGCTCTGGGGTGGCTCCTGGGTGGGGCCTGAGGGACCTGGCTGTTGCTCAGCAGCGGCCATTGCTCCCTCTGGCAGCTCCAAGGGCTGCACATGGCACACGGCTCTGCTGGCAAATGGTGACTGGGTATATGGAAGGTCGGAGAGGACACCTGTGTATTTTTCCTGGAGGCCAGTTCTTACACAAGAAACCCCTGCCACGCGTCCACACCGCC